TTTACCATTCAGTATTCCATCCTTAGAGTTTCTGAGACATCTACTTCTTTTATTTTTCTACTCATCATCTTTTCACAATTTCTTTTTTCATTCCTTAGCAAAATGCCAATCTTTTAGATAATTGCTTGCCGAATTTTTTCAAAATTTATTTCAAAATTCAACCTTCAAATTTAGGTGTTTACTCAAGTCGACGCAAATATTTGATGTTTGGAATGCTAGCTCCCTGGTCGGTACAATGATCAATGACTGCGGGTATTTCTTTTCAACGTCGACTTTGTCAATACAAGGGATACAATAGGCACCTGTTTTACCTGTGCCGTTCTTTGCGCGCGCCAATATATCCTGACCTAAAATCTTTTTAATCGATTCAAAAGATTATTCCACGATTTAATATTACCAAGCCCTCAAAAAAGTTGAATTGTCTAACTGTTTTACAAAAAATCGAATTGGAATTCGTCTTTCACTACTCTTTTCCTTGTTATTTCGTAGAATAATACATCTTCACTGCACTAAATACTTTCTAAAAATTATGAAAAAAAATTTCAACATCACAAGAATCTTTCCCAAACAATAGATTACCTGATAATGCAATTGAAATGGATGCTTCCTGTATAGGACTTGGCTTTTCCCAACCTTTCTCAAAAATTCCCATCAACAATGGTCGCTTCAAGCAAAAATCTTCAAATTCAATACCTTTTGTGTCCGTTACATCCTAAAAACTATTCAAGAATTGCACGAATCTCTATGGAAAATTACTTAAGCAATAAATTCAACACTAAAAATATGCTGACCGTTGTCTTGAAACGCAGATCTTTAGCTGGCAAGTTAAGGTTTTCCTTCCAACACTGATCATTCTGTGCCTCTGTTTTGTTGGTCATTTGTGAAACAGTAATAATATCGCTTATCAAAATCAACAGCAACTGAATAGAATCTAAAAGTAACTTAACTGTTTTAGCGTGATTATCAAATTCAAATTGAAAGTTACTTACAGAAGATCAGATTCCCGAATATTTTCATGAACTTCCGATTTTGTGTAGGACTAATTATATTGTGTTACCCTTAAAAAATCTTGTCTTACAGGAAAACCTAACCGGAATCAAATACAAACTTTCATACATGAGCGTTCGCACATGATTTCAACAAAATATCTACAAATATACGTTTTGTTTACCTATAAGCTAATGAAACATTACTTATTGCATTACTACTTCGTTTTCGTCAACTGATTATCAGAAAAAGCAAAAACTACGCTCGTAAAACAAAATGCCCTCAAGTTTTATAGCATAAAATATTTGCTTCAGTATATATGCTAGTAGAAAAAACCTCTGCAATCACATTAATGCCTTTCTTGAAATTGCGAAATAACACAAGGTAAAACAAAATATTTAACCAGCATTTCATATCTAAATTATTTTAAACTTAGGCAACCAAATCAGCTATGTTGAATTCAGGCACCTACATTGTTTACACACTCTTAAATGTCATCTGGAGTCAATGCAAAAGCATGATGCATATCTTTGTATAAAGGTCTAAAATATATGTAAACGGTTCATGAAGATCATTCGAGGTCTAAGGAAGCAACATAATATCTTTTTCAAGAAAGATTTCTGGAAACTTCTAGAAGGAGTGTTCCCGTAGATCTGGCGCCCATATCACTGACCCATCCAGCTTAAATGATCTATCGAATAGAGGCGGGTTCGATCACATATCATCTCAGAACACCAAAAGTTCCTTTTATCTATCAATGAAGGGTTAACGCTAAAATATACCTATGATTAAATGTCAATAGGCTCCGCCTGATTAAGACATAGATATCTTTTTGACAAGAGTTTTTAGGTTACGTCCGCGTGTTAATTTTAAACAAATTTCTGAGCTACCTGCTATTTGTAAGTCACTCATCAACAATAAATACAGTATGCTTAAGATTAAACACATCAATCCCACCCATATTTCTTCATCAAACATTAACAGATTTATATGCTTACGATAGTGTACGATGTTACCATGTAAACTTCCAAAGTGCACGTCAACAAATACAGTAAGCGCAACACAATATATGAGATGTGCAACTAAATCTAATGTCACACGTCAATAACTCACTTATGAGATGAATTGAATGAATGTAAACTTTATAAAAGAATAAAAAGTGTCAGACTGAAAAGAAGAAAATTTGAATAACTGCAAAAATTTACATAAATGAGGAAATCTCAAACAATTCTACTAAGCATCGCACTATTATAATAATCTACTGCAAACAATCTTTATCTACATTTTGCATGTATTCAAACTAAAAGGATAAAAAACTGAACAACCGCAGAATATGAATGATTGAGGAAATTTCTGAGAAACTCTATATAAGTGTAACATTACCCCAACGCAAATCACGATGCTGATTTCAGCACAAATCATCACCAAAACAAACCATATCTATTTCTCGAAGGATAGGATTAGTGCAACGTTAAAAGTACATCACGTTAAACAAAAAGCTCAAGCAAGCTAAGCAAGTACTGATTTCCTATCATGTGTCAAAATGCACTTAAACACATATTTATTCAATAAATTGCATGATTTCTTGTTGGCAGATTGCCGTTGCTTCCACTAAGCATTGTTGCAGTTCACCTTAAAAACATTTCTTTTCTAAGTTAAACGAATGGTCATGCCTTACACGTTGCAATTACGTTTTGATTTTCATCTAACAGTCTGAAAGGCAAGCGATCTGTTTCATTTTATGACGTGCGTGAACTCCGTCAAAACTATGACGGACTTCCGTCAAAACTACGACAAATTCCATCAGATGATAATTACAATTCTGCCCGAAAAAACAAAAGAAAAAATCAACTGGAGAAGTTGCAAAATATAATAACCTACTAATGATTGGCAAAAGCGTGGGAAGATAAGCTAACGGTGGTCGAAACTAAGTTCAACGCTGTGGGCCGCATCATATGGGCCGCATCTTGCGCCCCTGAACGCAATTCAATGACCCTTTTTGGAAAGAGCTGGTTGCAATAGCGCCATTTCTCATCTTTTAATGGTGGTGAGATGTTTTATTCTTTATTTTCCACTTTCTTTTCCTTTTATATCTCTTCCTATTCTCTTTTAAATCTCTTTTCAATCAGATATACTGCAAGTCAGGACGATTAGCATTGTTCACATATCTTTTGCCGAGAGCTCTGATGGTTAGCCAAAAACTTCCAAAATTAAAGTGCACGCCAAGAACTACATTATTTGAGATTCTAGATCGATAAACTAACTCTACGATGAGGTTGGCCCATTGCACTGACAGTGACTGACCCATGTGGGAATTTCGAGATGGGGCTCGCTAACAGTATAATTTTTGCATTTGAGGACAGACAATAGCGCCGTTCTCCGCCGCCTAGGCAAGGTGGATTTGGAGGAAACCGTGATACAGACTATAGATGGGGGTCAGGATGATCATTCCCTCAGCTCAGCACTAATTGATCGGATCCCCATATTCTATAATCTGTCCTATAAACTATCATGTCCCATATCTAATTTTAAATTTTCAACTTTTAAAACAGCTTGAAAGAATTTAATTTGAAAAGTTTCCAACTTATTTCTTTCTATCATTTTTTTTTGAGAAATCAAAGAGTGAGAATTCTATTTTACTGAAATTGTTAAGTAAAAAGCTTTCAAACTGATAATTACTTCTTAGACTTTAAAATAATTACTTCTCGAACAAAAATCTTACCCAACGGATATTTTTTCACTTCATACCAGTATTTTTTCGAAATATTTTGCCCAAGCTTAACTGAGAAAAATATTTTCATATGTTTACAATGTTCACAACATTTCCAAAATACTTACAGCAACCAAACTCCCATCCTTACCATAGTCAATAAAGATTGAGCAAACTTAGCTCGAACATCTTATTTGATCATTTGATGAATCTCGAAACTCTCCCTCGCATTAAATTTCAAGTTTTAAATTTATTTTAATCTATTAGAACTTTATGCCAACAATAAATTATCAATCGTCACGTAGCTCTTTCCGCCCCTGACCTTTTGCTAACTCTTTTTCCTCTCAAACTTGAAACAGCTTGTAGTTTGCCGCACTTCAAAGTTGTTGCGCTTTATTTCTTTTACTAAATTATATTTTACAGATAATTTATTTAAAATCCAAATAGTTTTTAAATAAATTACTTATTAAAAACTTAAAATATATAATAACTACACTTAGCTAATTTAAAGTATTTTCGGTTTGATTAATCAAAATATTTGAAATATGCTAGTTACAATCTCGAAATAAATGAGTAACGCTAGCTTGTTTCTTATTTAAAATTATTTAATTTTAGCTTGTCCATTAACTATAAAAAATAGAAGCATGATTGAATTTAATCAGCTTGTTGGCAGTTTTTTCCATGTCCAAAAATGGAGAAGATTTTTACTTTTGATTTTTTAAATTATAATTTTTTAGGCTTTTAATTCTTTATGATAAATTTTCTCGAATAGTCGTAGTAGTATTTGAAATTGATAAATTATCTCGAAATCTGAGTGAATATGAGTTATCGTAAATTGTGTCAAATTTACATATAAGTGAAAAAATAATAGATATTGCAGGTAAAAATGTATAATTTCAAAATCTTTTTTTGCACCAATTAACACCAATTAATTTGGATTCATTTATCAATCTTCAGATTTTTCAGTGCATGGCGGAATTTGATAATAAGTTCGGCTAATTCAAATTAATTCCAATTTGAATGTATCGAGAACTTTTACTTTTTTGTTTTTGCTTTCTAAAATCTTCATTTGGACAAATTTTGAGAAATGCGAAAGATTCTAGAAGAATTAAAAAATTAAACAAAAAAGCAAAATGAAGGAAAGTGAATAAGAAAAGTAAAGGAAAGATGAATGATAAGTGGAATTAGGTGCACTTTCAAGTGAAATGTTCGATTCAACTTTCAATTTCTCTGCGTTATTTCTGAACATATATATCATCGATTGATTGTGGTAACGTATAACTTTTTCTCTCTAGGTCACCAGATGCGTTTGACAAGGCATTTGTTGCAACAATTTAGGGATCATATGTTTATGGAAAAATTGAAATATTACGAACGTTTTCGTCCACAACCAATATCATTGCAAATGTATTTGAGTTTTGGACAAACGGGAACTGTGGAAATATCATTCAAATTTTTACGAAAAGAACTTCTTGTTCGTTTAGCTAATATTACAAAGGTAAAATTGACTTTTACTTTTTTGCCACTTGTTAGTCAAGTAAAATAACTATTTTGGCTGCTGTAGAATTGCTGAGTGTTAGTACTTCACGAAGTTATGCAAAATAATGATTTCAATCATATGAAGTACTGGATCAGTTCAAGAATATGATTTGAGGTAATTTTAGTTATTTGATATAATGATTCCGATCATTGCAGGGATATGTTGAAGTATTTTATATATGGAAACACATAAGCCATGTATATTTCAGGGATTTGGTGAAATGTATAGAAATACTTTATATATAGAGAAATGCATAAGCCCTAAAATGAGGACAAACGTTTACTAATGTTGATAAATCTGTTACTTTTACATAAATTATAACGTTGATAATCCATTCCTTATACACCGAGAGTAAGACTATATCATAAACATATTTCAATTTGTTAAGAGGAAGAGAATTTCTTTTTTAGAGAGAGAATTTCTTACAAAGATTTTCTTTTTTCCAGGAAGTTGATTTATTATTTCAAAATTTACCTCAAACATCTGTTGCTACCGGCTTGCATAGATCATATTGCCAAAGTTTTGAAGATTTGTTGCCGTTTGAAAATGTTGAGCCAACCGATGGTAATATCAGTTCGTAAGTTCATTCCTTCATTCATTTTGTCATTTCAAAGTTATCTTTTAGAAATTAAGGTCAAAGTCCTGCAATCTAATGATTTGCTAAAGTTATTTGAGTCTTTCTCTTAAGTTGAAATTTGCGGACAGTTTAATTACTAATTCATAGGTTTATAGATTTAACGAAAAGGTGGAAAAAGTAATGTTACGGCACGAAAATACCATTGAGGAAATAGCAAAAGGCGTTATCCAATTACGACAAGAATATGGCGTAAATATAATATCAGATAATAAAGTTCAGTATTCCTTGGACCGACTTTATTTTAATACGATATCTATACGAATCCTGCAGCATCAGCATTGTTAGTTATTCCCCTCAGTTTGTGACAATTTATAAAGGCAAACTAATATTTAATTTACGTTGGTATGCCTTATAACATACGCATATATTTGTAGTTATTAAAATTTCAATATTTTGATTCAATAATTTCTGATATATTATATATACGCATCTATTTACGTATTTGTTTGTTTTTTACTTACTTATTTGCCTATTTATTTATTTGTTCATTTACTTGTTATTGATCGCATCATTCATAGTAATTTCCGCGGGTCTTTAAGTCCAAAAACAGTTCTTTCCTGGACATTTTCGGGAGTTTTACTAATATGTTATAGTTATAAATGAACGGAATTAATTAATTAATTAGTTAAAGTCAAGTACTGAAACTATTAACTTAAAAACGGAAGAAGTGGAAATTTTTAATTTTAAGAAAAAGTTTTATTTTGATTTCAGTGGTAGTTTTTGGAACATCACTTCCAGAAAGTCCTCGACATATAGGTTGCATTGATCCAGCTTGCGATGTCGCTGCAGTTATTGTAGACGCCTATGATAGTGCTCGATTCATTTGTGATGGGTTAGCAATAATGATTTTCGTTGTATTTTTTTTTCGTTGTACTTTTTTCAAAAAAATAATTTTACAGTTCTTTTAATTATTTATTATGTCAAGCATCATAATCATAATGTAACACTTTAGTTCTGATTCACGTAATCATAAACTTTGTGCTGTTTTTAAGATGTTATTGTGATACGCCTAAATTGCAATTCAACTCTTATAATTCGGTTACACCTGGACATCCGATAGCTATCGCAACCATACCATCATATTTGTATTATATCATGTTTGAATTATTCAAGGTACTGCTGAATTCTTTCAAATTATCTTTCAATTGCAAATTTTCATCGTATTTTAGTCAAAATTCTGCAAAAAAGTAATCCCTGAAGTTTTTGCAGAACTCGATGCGTGCTACCATTGATCGTTACAGTGAATTTGAAAAACTTCCTCCAGTTCAAGTATTGGCAACATTGGGCGAAGAAGATTTGACAATTAGAGTAACTAAATGACCTATTTTGTGGAAAAGCATCAGAACTAGAATATTTCCCAAATAAGCTGTATTATTACTGATGGAAACATATGAAGAATTGAAATTTCTTAGTCCTGAAGTTAAAGTTTTCGAGAGAGGAAAAATTAACAACTTGGTTATTTAAAGATACATAGAAAGAATAATTTTAAATTTCAGATGAGTGATAGTGGTGGTGGCATTTCTCGAAGGAAGATAGATCAGTTATTCCGTTACAGCTTTTCTACCGCACCACCACCAGAAAATGGTGGTCACAATCCAGCATTGGTAAAATCATAAATGAAATTTGTGAGAGTTGGATACCTTGGTTGATCTTCTTAGTGTTTTACTACTTTTCTGCGATAGTCTTAGTACTTAAATTTCTAATTTCACTAGTTGTTCAGATTAGATTGTTGTAGGCGGGATGTGGTTATGGTCTTCCTCTATCTCGTTTATACGCTCGCTATTTTCACGGTGATTTAATGATTAGTTCGATGGAAGGCTATGGAACCGATGCCTTCTTGTATGTTAAAGTAAGTGTATATCTGTCTCTTTTTTTCTCTACAACTTGGTAAAATCTAATTTAAATAAGCGAACTTCTCTGGACAAAACGTAGTTCTTTAATGAGCAATCTCTTGCAACTTTCTGAATTATATTTAATTTCACTTCAAATTTCCAAAAAAAAAGAAATTTCAGGCAATACCATTTAAAGCCAGCGAAACAATCCCGAAATAAACAATCCCAAACAATTTTGCCGAATGTTTCTCAGCCATCAGGCTGAAAATTGACTAGAGTTCATATCCGAAGAAAGTGAATGTGACGCGGAATTTTTTCTTTTTTAGTATATTTGACAGTCATCAAATGGGTAGTATTCAGGAAGCGGTGCAAAATACGAGTTATTGAATTATTGTATTGTACATTTATATATATGAAAATCGTGAAGTGTTGACAGGGACGTAGCGGTTGTGTAAATGATAAATTAGTCGAATAAAAATTGTTCTCTAATTTGGTATGGTTATGTACTTGATATAGAAATTACTCGGGATATGTATGGGAATAATGAGACTATGATGAAGATATTACCTTCTGTAATATGTTAAGGTAAGAAGAGGAATTTCCCTCATAAAATTTTTGAGCTATGTATTTTAACTCAATATGTATAATGTATAGATATCCTTAGGAGTTCTACATTTGTGTCACATAAATGTGGCTGATTCAATTTTAAACCATTTAGCTAATAAATACATTAATCCCTCCACTTAGTTTAATCCTTGATGATGTACTTTACAGATGAGAGTTCTCATTAGTACACTACAGTAGTAATCATGTGGAATTTATTTAAGTGAACAATAGTAGCAACGTGAAAATCGATAGTAGCTGACGCAAGCCAGTTTTTTTCGTCCTTTTTTTCTGCTGTAAAAGATTTGAGAATTATTTTTTTCTTGTTGAACAGAATAGAAATTGCTAGACAAAATTAATTGCTTAAATTTTTATCATTAACAATGCTGAGTATATAGGAGTGGTAAAAGTATTACTAATACAAGAAATTTTTTTAAAGATATCAAGATTCTGGAACAATTACAACTTTATAATATTTACTCCTAATAAAAAAGCTAATCAAAATTTTGGAAAGAAATTACAGTTGACTGATTGATATTTAAGACTATAAACTTATATCATACACGAAATCGAACAACATTTAAAATTGTTTCTAAGGAATGGAAATTTCGATATATCTAAGTTACAAAAAGTAAGCTATCAATATAAAAGCAAAAGACGCATTTAAAAGGGAATACTTAGCTTACAGTAGTTAAAATGAAGCAAATTTTGAATGAAATATCGGAGAAGAGAAAGAAGCGAATCTCAAAATCAATGTAAACTGAATGATAATTGCACAGATATACATAAGGTTCTAGGGCTGTTACCATTAGAATTGAAAATTGAAATCAATGAAATATTACAATTAATTAAAATATGTAAAAATTAAATATGAAGAAATGGATTCGTATCAACAATTCTATCAATGCTCAAAGAGGAGTAGGTATCATTGACATGAGATCATTTGAAATTTTGAAATCCTTAAAATTATATGCTTTTTATCAATTTGTTTAAATCTTCTTGAGCTATCATTCTAATTCTCTTAATTTAGTAGGATGATAGAATGATTCAATTATTCAAAAAGATGAAATGGGACAAAAAAAGGAACTTATGAAAAATTTTCATATTTTGATGAAAGGATATTATGTTTTGGTTTTATATGTATTCTTCACAAATATTGCTGTCGTTTTTATCATTGATCAAATAGTTGTGTTTTTATCATTGATCACATACATACATACATACGTAAGAGATGAGAATGATTTATGACGCAAAAATTTTTTTAAAACAATCTATTTACACAGACATTTGAAAATATATAATGCCTGAGAAATTATTATAAAATGATTGAATATCCACTGAAGAATAGAATTGTTTAACATGTAATTTAGCAAAACAAATCACTGACAAAAATGTGCAATAATGAAACTTAAAAAAATTACAATGAAAATTTTCATTCTTGACAAATTAATTGTTAAAAAGAATAAACATGTTAATTAAGTAATTAATAACTGATGGAGTTTAATGATTATGAAAATAAAAATTTCAAGGGAAAGAAAAACTTGACAAATTTGTCATCTTATTTTAAAATAGAACTATACTTTTACAAAGAAGACATTAATTTTGCATTTTATTTTATCAAAATTTGATAATTTATGAACGAAATGAAAAGTTCATGAAAAGAGTATTATCAAAATTATCACTTATTATTTTATCACTCAGTATCACTGCTATAGCATGTAAAATTGAAGGTATTACTGTAATGAGATCAAACATATTTATTACACTTATGCTTGATGTATTTTTTTATTTACGTACCCGAAAATGAAGAATGCATGCGAAAGGAAAAATAGAAAAGATATGCCGAAGAATTTAAGGTAAATATACTTATATAATTATAGGTAAAAGAAACTTTTACATTTTCTTATTTCTTTATTTATAGCTTGAAATCTTTGCTAAATCATCTTTGAATTGAAAAATTATATACAAGAAATCATTTAATGAGCCATTTCTCTAATTAGCCTTGATCTTTTGTAGAAAATAAACATTGACATCTTTTCTAGTAAAGAAACGATTAAAGAACAAATGAATCCCTTCTTTTTGTTGCAACATGATAAAAATAGAAACCTAAACAATGAAATCAAATAGAATCTAGAAAAATAGGATAGTAATCAATGATTGAGTTATTTTAAACAAAGAGATAAGATTGCAAAAGGATTTACACAATGTACTGAAATTTCGTGATTAACATAAACATTCAATTCAATTATCAAACATCAAACGAAGGGCAGTATCTATTGAATTTAACTTATACATAATTGGAATTTGCATAAAATTAAAGTCAGTTAATGGATATGCCAGTACTCTACGATAATTTGCCATGATTTTTACGCTTATTTGAACGGCAATTTTGCCCTTTGTTTGAATCCTTCTATTGAAACAACTTATCAACTTGAAGCAATGAATAAATTACAGTGTATAATTAGTGATTCATCTTCATTTCCGAAATCTAGAGTTATTTAACAATTATCGCTGGTTTTCGAACGATAATATTGTAGCCGCGTCGCAGAAAAAGTGTTTAACAACTAAACAATCCTCCTAGATTAACTAATCATACACCGCAATTTTTTTTGATTTTTACAAGTCTTATTTGTCGTTTATGCTTCAATTTTTTCACATGCTAGTTTTTCACACAATCTCAAAAGCTTCATTGTCATTTTTAATTTTTGCGAAGGATGGAGACAAAACAAAATTTTGAGCAATGCAAAGCATTCTTTAAAAAAGGTTCATGAGTAATAAGTAATAAACGTTTAGCTTTATTCCACGTTAGTAGGCGAATTTGTACGATATTTAGATCGAAGAGCTATTAATGTACTCATTCGTTGGCCTTGCTTCCATTTATTTACAAGAACCGAAAGCAATGTAGACATATTGCAACAAGCTACCAGAAAGAATCCGCATGCAAGAATTTGCACCTATAATGTAATATTTAATTGCTGAGCTAAAAAGATTACATAGAAGAGTTTTAGACCAAAAATGAAGCTTATCGAATCGTCAATCTTCCCCACATTTCTAACTTATTGGGTCATTCGATAAGATTATCAATTGTGGAGCGAGCCAGTTAACGACCAAAAGTTTTTAATTGATAGGTTTTTGATTAATAGAAATAATGAAAAAGAATTACCTGCCACTGACCGATACAAATTGGCGCTTTTGATAGATAATACAATTTATAGGAAGTGTAGAATTGAAAAATATAAGTCAGCACAAGGAAGGGTATCAAAAAAGTCAATCCTTTGAACATCCAACTGCTAAATCCCTCTGAAACAAGAAATAGCATAAAAATAAGAAACAATTTAAACAGTAATTTAAATACCTACTATAATTTTCTCTTACCGACAGATATATCCATGCTGTATCGTTGTCCCAATGCATGTAGACGTCGTAGACATCCAGTTTGATAACGACATTGCAAAAGCTAAAACTAAAAATTTTACATTTCATAGAAAATAATCCATGAAAGATAAAATTTTACTAAAAGTTCACAAGAATCTACAAAGCAAACATAATAACAGACCTGAACAAAAGACAGAAAAATACAAAACATGATAAACTGTGTTCGAATACTTCGATAACACTCGCCATCTCCCCATGTTACAGTTATACCGGAAAGTACACAAGAAACGTAATGATGCATTATCCACCAGCCTTTAATCCTAAAATTATGTTAAATCATTAGGAATGCTTTATTCTTAATAATTTCAATATTTATAGTTAAAAATTTTTAGAAAAAAATAAGACAAGATACAACTACATAATACCTTGATCCATTAACTCGTAATATCGCTTCACGTATTGTTAAGGTGCAATAAAACCATACCAATATGAAATTTATTACTAAGTCAAGAATTCTAAAATACAAAAGATGTAAAATTCATGATGACATAACGTAGCTGAATTATTGGATAAATTGAAGTAAATCTTATTAATCATGTAGCAATAATGTGACAGAAATGACATTCAACTTGTTCTGTACTGAAAGAAGATAATATCTATAGTTAAATAATATTTCCTTTTTCTTCAATAAAAAAGAAGGAAAAATGAACCTAGACGTAAATATATAAGCGAGAAAGAGAGAAAATAACAGAGCATAGTTTACGATGACTTTGAACTTTTCATATTCCTTTTTATATCGATAACGATCACTTTTATTCATTAACGATACATTTAAGTTACTTCCCAGGATAATCGACAGATATAACCTGAAATTGCAACAATTTTTATTTCAATCATTGTCATCGTGAAGTAACGCTTTTTTACGTTCTATTTATATAATTATAACATCTTATTTACCCAATATCTTTCACAGGTAATTCATTCATCATATCTTGCAATCTCCTTTCTAATTCCACGACACCTTCCTTCATTTTTTTCAAATATTCGGCGTTTTCAGGTTGCTCCTTACCTTTTAACCTAAAAATGAATTATATTTAGGCTATAATTTGATCAGGTTTCTTCAAAATCACAGCATAAAAAAAAAGTAAACTCGAAACTTCGAACATCAAATTTAAATTTAATTGAACAAATAAAAAACAACCCTCTCAGAGCTTCTCGTATCTTGGATATTTGATATAAGCAATGTTTCACTGATTTTTGACATTCTTCTTGCAACTTGGACACTTGTTTTAATTTGCCCAAACATATACGATGATGATCCTGCAATTTTTCTTTTGAAAACTTAAATTTTTTATTTATCTACAGTATCTTGCTGCTAAACTTCGAATTCACTTCATTTTCGCCTAATTTGCTTATCAATTAAAATCATCCAGTGATATACAAAAACAACATAAAAATATGCCAAAAAAGACACATCCCACTGATTACAACGACTAAATAACATCATCATTGCAAAAGATTATATCCTAGGATTTTTAGTTTTTTTGATGTATAGTTTAAAACATTTTCCCAACCCAATCACTAATCCAGCAAAATATGATAAAAAGATGAAAGAAGTACGAAAAAATTGCAAACCTCAATTTCTTCAAATTCATCTTTCAATGAACGCCATTCATCGAATACACGCTCAAATGGGCTTTTCTCATCTACCATAGCTAGAAATCATTGAAAGATAAAATATGTATGATTGATAATTTATCACGCGTATTACACATAACCAAAATTATTAATTCATTTTCTATTTTAAAAAATATTTCGCAAGAAACACTTCATTTATCCTCTCATCATAACATATTTTCCATATTAACAAAAAATTGATCAAGCAAATGTGATGAAAATTTATAATATTATTAATGAAAGTAAAAAATTCAAATTGAAATCATATTCTAACTGACAATTTATTATAAAAAGAAAGATTATAATCGTAATAAATTTTGCGAAATACTAAGAATATTCAATATTTTAAGATTTTACAATAATGCCAAAATGAATATGTCGAATTTCTGTTGATCGAATATATGATCATTGAAATATTAGAACTGAAAGTAAACAATATTGCAAAACAATACAGCAGCTCTAATTTACGATAAATATTAGCAATATGATTTAGAAAAATTGAAAGATAAATCATGCTGCAAAATAAAAGAATAAAGTTCAAGAAAGGTCAAAGATAATATTGACTCATCAAAAGACATGCAACTTTTCTACTAATCAATTTAATCGACAATAGCAAATATCCTCTGCTAGGAAAAGTTTCTTCCTTACAATAAAGTGGCACAGGATATTGTAGGGATGACATCACAAGATCGCATTATCAAATATGAAACCATTAAAGATATAGTATCATTAAGGAAGATATAATAGGAGCAAATATGACAGTATGAAGAAATCGGAAAAATGATAATAAAAATTAGGAATATTACAGTAATAGAATTAGAATACTATTATCCCAATATAGTAGTATATTAATATAAATTGTTATAATTTACAATTTCTTTATCGCAGGAAAAACGATTATTGTCAACTCTCATAATTAATCAATCATTTGTTTACTGTTTATTTCATTTATTTTTGATATATTATATTATGAAATAATAATAATATTATATGCAATTATTTCAAATCTAGGAATCAGATGATAAAAATCAAAAATGATTAAATGATAATTGGACGGAATATTTTTAACATACTATCATCATATTATATTTCAGAAACAAATCTTAAATGATCGATTTTATATATGAATAATTAATTACAATATATATTCAAAAAATAATAATATAATAATTAAAAAAAAATTAATCGATTATTTAAGAACCGTATCTGAAATATAATATGATGACAGTATGTTGTGAATTTCCACAACAAAACATGAATTTTATTGATAAAATAGATTGAAATCCATTCATCAATAATTGATTTCAACGGAAAAAATACCGATCTATCTTGTCACAAATATTTATAAACAATTTGCACTCAGTAAATTTCAAAATAAAAAAAAGAGGAGATGGATTTATTTCTTTCATACATTTCCTCTTTCTCATTAATTATTCAATTAGACATAAAAATATTGACTATTATAGAGCGAAAAGTGATTAATGATAAGAAAAGTAAGAGAAACTATTACATTTCTAATTACTGCAAAATTTAATTTTAAAATTTTGGCACAAATTTGACTTATGAAATTTAAAGAAAAGAAGAAAAAGAACGAAAGAAATGATTCGAAATCGTACCAAACAAATTTCTTATTTAAAAAATTTCCCTTTCAATAAATGTCAAATTATAACATTAACAACAAACACATGACAATCCTGTTATCACTCAATCGTGTATATATATGATAAAACAATCATCTATTATTGGAATGAAATGAAATTTATGAAAAAAACAAAAACAAAACTATTGAAGTCACTAATTAGTGAAATATTTTAGCAAACTGATTTGAAGAAATTTCTGTCACTAATAAGTGAAATATTTTAGCAAAATGATGATAGGAGAAATAATTCTTTCTGAAAGATTCCGTTTAATTGTAAGAGATGAAAAATATTCCATGACAACTGATTAAAGACAACTGCTCTTATTTGTCCTATCATACAACAAATTCAGAAAGAACAGAAGAAAGATGGGCTATGTTTGAAAATAAATCAAAAACAAAAAAAAAACAAGTTTAGCAATTTCTGAAAATTTAAATTAATATCATTGCATCTGATGAATGCACCAAAGTTCCTAAAAATACCAGCTCATTTTTTAAAATTGACAAATAACAACATACCGTCCAGTAAACCCAATTAACTTCTTTTCCCCTACCCAGAATTCTCGATAAATGAAAAATGAAATTTAAGAAATACTCATCCCTTCCTTTCGAGAATTTAATAAATCCCCAAAAAACTTCAATTTCTCATGAATTTTCAGAATTCCCATCATGTCAAAAGAAAAAAGAGCTTGCATAGATTTTCAGCAAAGGTAACCGATCAGAAAAAAATTAGCAAATCAATAGAAATTTTTTATAAAACTTCATTACAAACTATGCACGGATAATAATACATTGCGAAATATATGAATATTATGCTGGAATAATTATTAGTATGTCATAATACGAACAATAATTAATAATAATAATAATCAATAATAAATAATAATAATTAATAATAATAATAATGATAACAATAATAGTGATAATAATATGATAATAAAATTAGAAAAGTAACGAACATAAAGAAATAGAGACCGAATAGAAATCAAAAATAACATCATGATTAAGGAAAGATGAGTAAACAAAGATACTGAAAAATAATGCACAAGGGCAAGCTAGAACAATTACACTGTTTGCAATTATTCAAGCAATACTAAAATGCAAAGAATTAGATTAACAAAGTACTGCACATGGAAACATTTTCCAAACCGCTATTATTAGTCCCGTAATTCCATACCTTATAGTCCTGAAATCTATTCTAAAAGTTCATATTTTGGTAGGCAAGCAGTTAGTAGTCACTTCAAAGAAGTGCACTGCACACCATCTGAAAACATTTCTTACATATTTTTCAATCGAGCGTGATATATCGTATCACTTCAAATCTAGTAAATTATGCAAATGGAAAATTAAAAAAAATATCCTCAATCTTATGGTCGCTTTGCTAAAGGAAATTATCAAGAGTCCTTCAACTTATAATGCTTAATCCTTTGAATCACAGAACAAAAATAACGAAATTTCAAATTTGAAATTTAACAAAAATAAAATAGCAGGAATGAAATAGATCCAACAATAATTGAGCTTCAAATGAAAATGAAAATCTATCGAAGAAACGAAGTTGGAGTTAACCATAAAATAAACAAAAGAAATGCAAGTCAAAGGAATATTAAATGAATTAAAGTTTCAGTAGAATAAAACATAGTCTTTTTCAAAAGAGTAAATAATGAAAAAGAGGAAGAAGTCAAATGAATGAGATTAAAATCCAATAAACTTATGAGCAAAACAAATAAAATCAAACATCAAAAGAAAACAAAGTGTTTTATTCGTTAAATTATAAATTTTATTAGTCAACTGCAAAATTATTTCCAGTTAAAAAAAATCATGCTCTCAAAATGAAATTAAATTCTTGCAGTAAGAATAAAGCATCGTGTTACAAAAGCTAAACAATTTGAATTTTGTAAAACTTTTAGGTTTATGTCATGTGAAGGCCAAAAATAAATCAGAAAAGATTAACCAAAAATAAAATTAAAAATTTTTATGCCAACAAGTGATAAGGATACCCTTGGAATATATTTGTCTACGTTATACGCTACTTCCAGTTTTTCAAAATTCTAATGATGATGCTTCCATACATATGAACTTTGTGACGTAAAAGGCATAAATTTAGATTAGCCACCCTTCGCACTGATAAACATTTTAGGTTCCGATACAGAAAGGAATGTTGCAAATGGTTTAATCATACATTTTCGAACAAGAACTGCCATACATAATTGTATGCTAAAAATACGATGTTTGAAAATAAACAAAAATAATCTGTGAAGTAAGGGTTTTTTTCACAGTACTATATTCCTATAAAACAAGGAATGGTCGCGATATTATTTTATGAAAAGCATTTTAAATCACCTATAATTCCTTCTTTTTTGCCAACAATTAGAAATTTAACTTATGTGCAATGATTTATTAAACCGATATTTTATTTTTAAAACATCGATTTGAAAAGTTTATAAAAAGAATAAAGAAATCATGACAATGAAACATTTTATGCTTAAACAGCCACTTCGATTCACTTAAATTATTACCTAAGCTTAAATTATCTCAAATAGCAGTTTCACGCTCGAATACAAGTAATGGATTCATTTTCCTAACATTGCGTCCCGATGTTGAGCCAGTCTGTATTTTTTGTTTTTCTGTAATTTCGCTGGAATGTGTAAGACCATCGTAACCATTAGTAGGCTGCAAAAATAAAGAATAAAAAAATATGATGATAGAAAAACACATTAAGTTTGTCATTTGAAGAAAAATATAAGAAAAATATGAAAGAAAATATAAGAAAAATATGAAGAAAAATATGAAAGAACCCATTGTAAAATATTTGGAAAGGCTAGAATTGCAAACACACACGCAAGTTATGTTATGCATACATGTTATCCTAATATTATGCATACATAGATACACAAGACCCAAGAAATCCTCTTATTCTTTCGATTTATTTGCTGAATATAAGTTAACCAAATCTTGATAGCATTCTAGCCAATAGTTGAAAACGGAAATCATGCTGATTCCAAATGTTACATTCCTCTCATCTTTTAATTTATGCTCCTCTATTATAACATGAATGGTACTAAAAGGTCTGTGAATTCCAGAGAGAATGAATTCCGTGCCAGAAATTTCCACTGAAAAAGTCCTGTTTCGTTTTTTTCAAGTTAAATGATTGAAAAAAATCTGAAGTTAAAAAAATATACTTCTTTCCGTGGCGGCAGAATAAGCCGTCTAGCTTCAGGAATTTGCAACGGATAATACTCTGCACGATGAATAGCCAGTGCTGGACCCCATTCACTTTCTGGACAAAAGAGATCCAACCATCGTTGAACAAACGTCCCCTTTATTGAACAAAATTTCACCACGGCTGCCACGGGAATAGCAATCAGCGGTGCAAGTGAAATACCCCAACCAATACGTTCCG